GCTTATGGATAGAAGCTTGCTGACTTAGTCTTCAAAGCACAAGTCAGATTTTTTAAGATTCGTGGTTTCATCTGAAAGTACTCGTTTAGCTAGGAAACTTTTCGTGGTAACAACGAACAAAATTAGACACCGACAAAACCGAAGCGGTTTCCTCTCCTCGCTTAGAGTCAAACTGTTTTTGTATGGTTATCGTTTATTCTTTATCTACACTTTAAAGCAAACACGATCAATACGTAGACATTTTCATAGGAGGTACTGGAACGATAGCAGCTTCCACAGAGATGGCGAGACAAACGTTTTTTTTCGTCGTCGCTGATATTAGCACAAGCAGACCTACCGTATCCTTCCATGTTCGATGGGCAATAGAAAACATTGGGTTGTTTTCATAATTTAAGAGATATCTCGAAACCGACCTTCCCTAAACCTCGGTGTGACTAATCAATACATATTGATTAGTCACACCGAGGTTTAGGGAAGGTCGGTTTCGAGATATTACTACGCTTTGTGCTAGCTGATAATACACCGACCTCTGCACGATGTGCGCAATGATGTATGTCCGGAAGAAATACAAGTTGTTACCACCGGACATTGTCATTATATATCCACCATCAGCATCGTGTATAAAAGGCATCACTGAGTGAGGATGCCTCATTCGAGAAGATGGCTCGCTGAGGAAGATCTGGCTCGACAGGAAGGCGAAGACGCAATGTTGAGGCGAACGACAAGCATGGACCATCGACTCGGATCACCGGCTCTGAGGAAGACGAAGACGTCGAAATGTTAGCCGAAAATAAATATATTTATCAACCTCGTGCAAGCTTATCAAGAAAGAATACATATTTAAGAGATAGTTGAAAAGTGCAACATACTTTTCTTGTGAATTGATTGAACACGCCAGAGCCCGGGGTCTGAATTCATTTTCAGGTGTGCGCGAGGTCCAAAAGTCCTTAACTAACAGGTCTGTCATAATTCAAAATATTATGCATAAAAATGTTATCTGTATGGCTAGTTAGGTGAAACTAGATTCTTCCAGCTATCCTTAGAATCGTTTTGTTGACAATCCCGAGTTTTGTTCGAAGTCAGGCCGAACCCAAATTGCCGTGTAGCGCAGTTCGTTGCGATGCCACTGTAGTTTTAGTGCCAACCAAATTCTGCTTAAGGGTAGAGACCATCCGCTTTGAGACAAATGAGCGATTTTTTCGTTGGCTTTCTTCTATAAATTGTTATGGAACCAAACTCTACGACTAGTACTTACTGCATCAGCGAACCCTCGAATATAAATGAACAATAGGAGAACGTGGTGCTGCATAACAATGATCTTCATCAGAGTGATTCACATTAACCTTCCTTTATGAAAACTAATGTGCTTCGTTAACCTCATGCCTATTTCTAGTTGCCTTAGCCATTTCAAGCTCCCATAAATGTTTTTTACAAGTTTTTATTACGCTATCCCTCATAGTACTCGTTCACCTCGCCTGATAACCAGATTTCTACACTGGTCGAGTTGTTTTTTTAGAGCATATGATTAACACGGTTACGGGGACACAAATACATTAAATTCTACAATTATGGGAAATGAGAACGCAGATTCGTTGGATAAATGGATAAACTTGTTTAGGTCTAGCGATAACAGGTAGAGGTTTCGAAATCATTGCACTAGGAACTCCTTCAGAAACGACGCACTCATAAGAGTACGCGTCTACTTCAGATTTCCATTATCGCCGCACGAGGCGTACAGTGCTTTGATACCGAATTTCATCCAGAATGGTGAATCTGCTTAGATATGAGATCACATTCACTAGCTCCGAGCTCCAGTATGTTATCATTCTATGGTAGACGTGCTAGTCAATTCGAACGCTCTGGCTCGCTAACCTCGATGAAATGCGTGTCATGTTTCCGAATGTGGCCGATGGCATTGTTAGTTGTCACATTCTTTTATCGCGGTCAATAGCCACTCGGTGGGAGCGGTGGGAGGCGGAGGCAATTCGCAAAGCCGAGCGACGGCAGGAAACCTCTAATTAAACGCTGGGCCTTGTTGGGATCCGTCTTTTGTCCCTCGGAATCATCGTCTCGTTGTCGGTTCTCGAGAGTCTTTCATCGCAATTCACCACATCAATCCTAGATATTGTTCTTCCTGATTTAGGTACATCAGAGCACTGAATAACACCATTCGAATTTGAAATGCATAGCTGTTTGATGAATGACTCCACGCCTAAGCTTTCAATCTTCTAGCTGTTAATCCTTAAACAGTAATAGCATTCTATGGGATAACTACTGTGGGAAATCCAGGGCCGAATTTTCGCTCAAGTAGATGAGTAGATGAAGAACCTTTGCCTTTTACTTCGAAGCTAGGAGAATAAGCATCGACCTTAATCCCAACCCACCACTTGTTTGTTAGATTAAAGTACTCTAACGAGGTTATGTTTCTCTAGCGAAAGACGAATACTTCGTTGAAATTTCAGTGGGACATTATTTATAGTGGAGCTTCTTACTATCAACGTCATATAAAATTGTTATTACCCTGTTATATTTCAGAACCGTCAATAGTTAAGAGCTACTCAGTAGGTGGTCACTTTTGAAAAAGAACGCTCTCACAGTTTTATTTTAAGGTCCTTCATCCTTAGTGTTTACGAGCAAGTAGCCTTGAATAGCTCGCTCGACTATACGGCGCCCTTAGATTTACACCTTTCGGGGTTTCTAGATGAAAATATTGCACTTCTTCTCACCATGGATGACTCCGTTGAAGGATTAGATCCCACCGTACATCGCAGTCATTCATTGAGGAGCTCTCTCAGTACCAATGATGGCGAGAGGAACGTCGTAACGTAGCGTAGCGTTACAAATTCCTAATAAAATCTCATAAAACTAGCTCGTGCTATCCTGTCTATACAACGGTGGCCACATGTTTCATTTGCTCGTCACCGTTCACCGTCAACGCAAACTGTCAACTAGAATTCCGTTTATTTTGTGCTACTAAAACGTCTACCTGCAATTTTACTCTGTGGCTGGTTGAAAGTGAGCGAGGATTCAGTTCTAACGATTCGTCACGTCAGTTGTGATTACTGGCTGCATCGTCGCGCATTCATACATATTCCATCCAAAACGTGCCTAAAATAGGCCGGTCATTAACACCCCGTTGTGAGTGACAGACATCCCGCAAAATAGATCGCTCCGGCGTCCAGCCCAGTCCTGTCCTTTTCCCATGCCATCATCCTTTTATGGATCCTATGCACCCCACTGGAGCCGCCGGCCAGTGAGCCATTCAGCCAACCTGCCGGCCGGCCGGCCAACCAACCAATCAGATAGCGACCACTCCGAAGTGTACAATTTAATGACCAATTCCGAAATGTCTTTATTACGGCGTTTCATAAGTATTGTATATTTCTATCCACAATATTTGACAAGTTCTTCATAGAGCACAGCTTTAAACTTATTGCATCTAAAACAACGGTATACAAACTTTTGCAATTGCTATTCATCTCACCACTAGTGTCCAGCATTATTATAAAAGCTCATATTAGAGCTAAATACATTAGCGCGGGGCGGGTCGGGGCGGGGCGGGTGGGGCAAGGCGGGCCCGGGGTGACGGTGTCAGCGGGGCGTGGCCGCCGCTTTTGGCAACGCGCGCGACGCGGACTACCGCCGCGGGGCGGAGTCGTTACGGCGCTCTGTCGCCGCCTCCTCGTTCGCTGCGCTTCCTCGGCTCGATGTCGCTGACCCCAGACCCCAGATGATGTTACTGACACACTGGAGGTCATTCGACGCTTGCCTTGCGCGTCCTCATCACCTTACCTCTTGCTTCGCGCTCGATATTACGCCACAAAACCGTTCGTCAATTTGATACTCGATTCTTTTTGTGTACTACGAGAAATCCACTTCTCTATGAAAGCGTACTTCACGCAACTTTTTCGTGCATTTAACGGTTATCTCACGACATCATGATGATTCTTTTTGTAATCTGTCGAAAATCTCTCTTCCATTAAATCCACGTAGCGTAAATTTTCCCATACACTCGCTTCCGATTTAGTCGGTATACGGTAACCCGATCGACTTTTGTTCCTTCTCAGACATTTTGATCTACCGTGCCCAGCTAATTATCAGTTTGCGCGCCATTTTATTTGTTTGAGTAAGCAGTCAGCGTCTCTTTTTCTATCGTTCGTCTTCCTTCACCCTTCCATTATATGTCATTATTCATTTGTATAATCCATTCCTTATCCAAAACAATGAGTAATAGGAATATTTCCCTCTAATCTTCATCACCACCTGTGGTCATTTCTGGAGAATGAACGCCAATCGTTCCATTCTTTTTTTGTTCAAGAACTGCTTAAAATACTAGTAATTTGCATTTTTTATCATGACGTCACTTGTAAAATATTGATTTATTGACATGGTTATACCATCGCTTTAACTTAGGTCGTTTCTTCGAAAGTTATGAACTAAGTGATTTAGTGTCACATTCCTTAGGTAAGTGTTAGTTTTTATGCCATTTTGGGACATATTTTCAGGAGACCTTTGAAAAAAGTGATGTCGATGTCGAAAAATACGACTATACGCTATCGTCGTAAATAGGCTTTGATTCCCTAGTGATTAATTTCTGTGCTGACATGCTTGCTAGCGCGCGCGACGTTCCGCTTTCCGCCGGCCTTCCGCCACTTCTCCAGCTCTCATTCCGCTTCTCTCAGTTGTTCAGTTGCTTCTTAAGGAGTTCGAGTCGTATCCATCTTGTCTCTAATATGTTTATTTGTCTTGTCGTAGGGTATTTGAACCGCTCGCTATCAACGGGTTGTCCGCTATATGAGTGAATGAGTCATGAGGACGACTATATTGTGTTGTTCGTTGTTGAATCATTGGAATCTCACTGACTACCGTCTGATTTCGATGATTCATCAAAAGTTTTCGGGCGAAATTCGTCTTCTCTCTCTCATATTTTCATTAGGAATCATTCGTTAATCAACACAGAAACATTCAGTGTTATTGTTTGGGACAACCACTGACGGACGATGTCAAACGAACAGAAGATTGTGCAAGAAGCAAACGTTGACGAAGAACAGGCTCCTCCTGCCCTTCCAACCACTGAACCTCCGAAGGATGATGTCGGTAAACCGGCCGAACCTGAAGTTCGTTTAATTTCTAGTAGTATATTATGTGGTATGTCCTTGCATTAAGTGCGATCAAAGATGCGTGAAATGCTCTGCGGAAAAATTGCCGAAGAAGATTAATATGTCTTTTCTATCTCATTATCATTATCATCTATCTAAACAGTACAACGAGGCCGCATGTAGCGCAGTGGTCGGAGGCGCTATACTCTACACATGGGATCGATCCCCTTGTTCTCGGTCCACCTAGCCTTCCATCCCTCCGGTGTCGGAAAATTGGTATAAGATTTGTCTGGGAGAATAGGAGCACCGGCCCAATACATCAGTAGGCCACTACGAGTCATTGCAAAGCCAAGAGATGCATTCAGTCACCTTCAACGATGCTTGATGAATTCGAATTCATAGTGCATTCTATTCTTCAACTTTCTTTAAACATTACAATGGAGAGGTTAAGCGAACTATTTCTGAGAGATGTCGATAAGCGACTGAAAAAGCGGACTTCATGGAGGATGAAGTGTTTTCTAATGTTATAAAGGATTTTATTTAGTTTTGACTTCTAGAAAAGAATGTGGTATATTGTAGGTCACCGAAGCTCCAAAGAGCGAAGAAAAACCTGCAGAAGAAGCATCAAAAGATGAGAAACCAACTTCACGTATCTTCAAACGCCCTACATTGAAGTGGGGAAAGAAACGTGATGAGCCATCTGCTCTCAAAGAACCGGAGCAAGCGAAGGACATTCGCGATGATACTCTCGGATGGATTGCGCAACAAATCCCTTCAGCTGTTCACAAGGTCCGTATTCTCACAATCCGCTGCCAATTAAAAAGGAAGAAACTTCCTCACTGCTAAGTAGTTTTAGGTGAATTACCATTTGTTGGACTGGGCTCAGAAACTGGCATACGAGGACTCAGAACGACCTGATTTACCGGGTAAAGACGGATCAATAACTCGTAATCAGTTCCTGGCTCACTTGCGTGATGGAAAATTGCTCGTTAACTTAGCAAACAAACTGCAGGTGACGACTATTTTCGATTCACATTTACTCGTGACTGCACTTACGGCACGTCATAGTTTATGCATCTATGAAAATTTTGAGTGCATTTTCAAATTCAAATTTTCAAATGACCAAAGTGTTTGCCATTCTTTCACAAGGTTTAGGGGTATATTTTGGGGGGTACCCGTTCCTTCATAACGTTTGGGGATTTATTTGTGGATATGCATTGACTATTAGTACGGGTGTTGCTGACGGTTATAGTTTTAGACAACAACAATTTACAAAACTCATAGTAAGCTTTAAAGTGTTTCTATTTCTTAATACTAACTCATGATACCATCAAAAAAGCCTTTTATAAGGACCTTTTCAAAACTTCCTTATTTAGAAACTTTATATTTTGCCCTGCTGATGTGTAGTGACCATTTTTCCAGCCTGGTTCGGTTGTTGTTGAACCGGAAGTAACATCGGAGGCGGCGCCAGTACCAGTGAGCGAACCAGAGAAGCAAGCTGAAGGATCTGCGGAAGGAGAGGAGAAAAAGGAAGAGGCAGTGGTGGAGTCAACAAAAGCTGAGGAAAAGCCAGCCACCCCTGTGCAAAAGACACAGAAAGAGAAGCAGTACGATATAGTGAACAAGTTCACAACGTGGGCAAACGATTGTCTTGGTCTCGGTGAAGGGAAGGTGGGGTGCTATTATGGTTTTATTAGTTATCTTTATGTCTGTGTTGATTATAATGTGGTTCGTGAACAGAGTAGAATAGACTTGGTGGTGTAGTTCGATGGATTAGAGTTTCGTTCTTGTCAAGTAGTGTGCCTCAACTCACAGCGTGGGAATATCTGATTGCAATGGTGCCGATTCATTTTAAATGAGGCCCGTGCAATTTGATGTGAGCATAACCAGCACTAGCATCACTTCGCTAATGAAGTGCGACCGTCTCGACATTTCTTCGGGTGTATGTCGAGTATCTCATGTCAAATCTTTCTCTTCTGTGGTACATTGAGAACATATGCGTTGCTTGCGTGATATGAATAATTTTCTGCCTACTGTATGGTTATGGGTTAGACCTTTCATGTAGCAGAAGCGTACATTGTGCAATTATTAGGATGCTAACGTATCGGGACGACTGGGATTTACAATTGGTTACTTCATGTCGCGATTGACTGCCACAAGGTCGGTCGTCTTGGATGGTTAGAGTGACCTCTAATGGTGCAAAGACTGCCGAAAATCAGATATCAACATGATGCAGGTCAGCGTGTGACAGATGATTGCTCCAACGGTGATTGACGCCTTCAGAAGCGTAATATGGTTGTTAGTTTAGGTGGCTTTTTTCTGCTTTTTTTTCCTCTGAAGTGCTTTCTCACAAAACTATAAAAGTGGCTAGGCTTATAAATAGAGGAGATACTGTGGCTTACGGCGGTATGCGTATTTGGCTTATGTGTCCTTCAAGGTCAATGAAGCGCGGCGTTTGTTTGAGTTGTGGATCATCGTTTGGCTTGACAGCTAGCCGCAGATTTGAGTGGAGTATGTTATGCAGTTCATAATAACGCCGTTACTTTGAGGATGGAGATTGTTCTGCATCTGGAAAGAACTGTGATTGTTACTGAAATTTTCGGATTCATTGTTCAGAGTTAGAGTGGGGCAAGGCTAAAGCATAACTGAGGAAAAAAAGCTATTCTTTAGTAGTAATTAGAATTAAGCTGGTTGTATTGCTAGCCAAATGGTGCACACCGCTCCTTCATTTGTCGGTCTAACGATAGTAGCCTTTCTGTATGTGAACTATTTTTTTTTTACTATTTATAGCCATCTGGTGGGCACCAGTAACAGTGCTATTATGAAATTTGATATGAGACCAGACATAAGGAGTTGATTTGGCCGTTCTGCTTTCTCGTTTGATAGGTACTGGGACTCACCTTTACCATAAGTACACAAATGCTCTCGCGCTGTGATTAATGGACAGCGTCGTGTTATCGACAGCTCAAATGTTCATTGCAACATTATAATGCTGCAGAGCGGAGACTTAGAACTGCGAATGTCAAGATGATTTCTTTCGGCTTGCACTCATTCGGTTATTGTGGGCGTTCTTCGTTTGGTGCCGACATGAGACTCGACTAGGTGGGTTACGCTGAAACAGCTGTTTAAGGCGATTTTATTGATGTAATAGTCCTTCAACCGCAATGATGCTAAGACTTTCTCAAGACTTGGTTTCCGGATTAGATCGAACCACGATTACCCTTTCAAGGAGCTCGCGCATCGCACGGTGTGCCACCGAGGTCTTTGTATCTTTGCGCTTCTCTCAGCTAGTTCTCTACCTAAGTCGAGGTCTTCATTCTTAGCAGAAAATTTAGGTTTCCAAAGGTCTTTATTCTTAGGAGACAGTTTGGATCTTCCGTGGTTTTCCAAATGATTAGTGCTAAGCTAGTAGCCTGAATGTGTCCTTGTGCGTGAAAATTAATGGTGTTTTTCCCTGTTGCATCAAGTACTGGTGAAAATTTCTGGACCTCATGCAGGTTTTGAACAAAGAATGCGTTAGTCATGATGTATGAATCATACACAATCGGAAATTTTCTGTCAGTCGGAAGAGGAAGAGAGAGACATTAAGAGTTCTATCAACATCACCTATTTCCATTCGTGATTCTATATAAGTGTTGTGATTTCAAGGTATCTAGAGGAAGCATCAATCTAGTAATTCAACTTACCTTCATGTAAAACGTTTGATTTCAGGCTATGACTACTGCAGATCTTCTTGAAAAGGGTAAAGCTGGTTATCCAGCCGTATTTGAAACCCTCTGGCAACTTGCAATGAAAGCGCAGGATAAATTTCAGCAGCAGGGCATTGATGTTGAAGCTGTGGTTGCTGCTGCAAGCCAAGTTGTTCGCACGAACATCATTCAGACCATCCTCAACTTTTTCAAGGTTGGCTGCGTAGGCCGTAAGCGATGTGGTGTGGCTTAGTGCGTTCGGTAGATATTTTTATGTTCTTTAGCGTCGTTCACCGCCTGTCTCTGACAAAAAAGATGACCATACCGATCCTGCTGCTGGCGACGCTGCGCCAAATGCACCTGAAGGTGAACAAGTAATTGAAGAGGAATGCAAGAAAGTAAGCTCTTTGCTTGCAAACCAGCTGTGTATTGTTTCGACTTTCAACGCGTGATTTTTAGATTGATGCATTAACGTCGGCCCCAGTGGCAGCGAATTAGGTCGTTTGTCAGTGTGGTTAGCCAGTTACCTACAGATCTGCCGGTTGTTTCATTTTACGTCGTTTCTTCTTATATTTCCATAGACACATTGTATTCTATGGAACACTAATCCTGTAACGTGAGTATCTGTTGAGATTCGACCAATTTTCCACCTCTAACATTGTGCGCGTCATTTTGTCAGCTTTATTATTTGTAATACATAAAGCGGGGAGGGGAGCGGAATGGGAGAACATAGGGTATAATCCGCTCTGATGGTTCTATGGCCCCGAAAGTGGCATACTGTGAGGTGTCGTTTAGGTTCCTTTACGGCGCGACGAGTTTTTCTGGGGTGGCTCTTGTTTCACAAACACTTTTTGATGTTTGCGAATGACCGTAACGTGAAATGGACGATGTCTGTTTAATGTGAGCGGTGATGACTTGCTGTGCGGTAGTTGCTGACACATCAAAACTGCTTACCTGACCTTGGTCAGTTTTTCTGTCGACCATTGGTTTTCATGGTGCAACCCAAACAATTGTAGCTGTTATGAGTCATTTACGGCCTACCGTGTTGGACTTATTTCCTTACAGAGCGTCTGTGTGCTAATCTTGAGTTTAGTTTCGGGTAGTCCTAAAAGCAAGAATCTGTATCTGGTGCACTCCTATTTGTCGAATTACTAGAGCTCCAATAAAATCTCCATCCATCCTGACACTTCAAAGGTATTGGGTGGTTGCCTCATACTCGATGAGCAAAGAAAACATCAAACATTTTGTTCGACGTCCTTTATTTTTGCTGTATTGGCGAAAATCTGTCCACATGTTGCTCGACATTCTTTGGTATGGAATAGGGCTTAGCTTAGCTGAAAATCTGAATGGAAATGTTGGACTTACCCTACCTTGGATAATCCCGATGGGATTTGCAAATCCTTGCTGTAAACCTTACTTCAACATACAGGAACATGCGCGAGTTACATGAGTAGCAATAATATTAACTACTCGAGCTGATTAACAGTAAGTGGTTATGTTCGTCGAATACTGTTTGCGCTATTCATATGGCTGGAATTTATAGTCTATGCAAATTAGCGCTGATTGTTGTGGTTGAGATGTGTAGTCAGTCGTTGGAGAGAGATACATGGGTAACGGGAGGCGTTACAGCATTTGCGACGAACAGTGGTCAACCAAGCGATTTGTGGGCATCTGGCGATGGCTATCTGGGCTTAATGTGACAGAGATAGCGCGCGTGTCTCTATGTGGGCTTCAATGGCTTTTAGAGCGCTGTGCAATGACAGTGAGTTGTAATATGATACCCGGTACGGTAGTGGTTGTCCAGAGTGCAACGGTGAAGGTCGCTTCCGGAAGTGATTAGGCGAAATTATGTGGATGTGGAGTAGAGGGAACGAGTGGAGCTCATGATTGACCTTCAAGGCAGGACAAGGTCGAATGACAAATCGGTATGAGAATGTATAGGTTTGGTGACGTGCGACATGACAATTAAAATTAGGTTAATATGCGATCGATAGCAACCGTGAGTTGGCAATGTTTTTCTTACAAGTATAAATGGCGCTTCCGGCAACGAAAATATTGCAAAGCAAGAAAAGGATTTTCCAAATGAATAACTTGGATTTTCGGAATGTGTTGCAAGTTTACACACGTATTGGACGTATATTTGGCGCGGTCAACTTTTAGTTTCGGGACACTACTTTGTATCAAATGGTGTTTTTGTCCTCTTAGTAAAGTGTTCCATTTACCGGTCCTGGCAGGATGGAGGGCTTTGTTAGCAAAGGTCGCTCGCGGAGTTGAACCAACGACCACATGTGCACTGCAGGGCCCGTGTAACCATTGCTTTGCACCTGCCTTTGTGCTCACTGTACCAAAATGAATGCGCGATGCGTTGCTAATAAATCATTTTGGATTCAACGTTTATTTCTTGCTAGTAGGCATTACAATATATCATTATAACTGGCCAGCTTGAATGCGATACGGGTTTTTAAGGTTGCAAGAAAACCCATCGTAGTTTAGAGCAAGATGTTAGTTAAAGGCGACTAGTGGTTTTTGTTCTGCAGCGTAATCGAAAAGGATTAGTGGATTTGCAATAGTAAATAATAAAGGGTAAAGCTGTCGGAGTTGATCAATACCTCAGGAATGCACCATGTCTTCGACTACATTAGGCATCGTTGGAGGTGATTAAAAGCACATCTGGCCTTTAAAATCACTCGCAATGGCCTACAGATGTATCGAGCCAGTGCTGCTATTCTCCCAAACAATTCCAGTGCCAATTTGCCGACCCTGGAGAGATGGAGGGCTTGGGGCGTGGAGGTCGATCCCATGTATATTGCAGGGCGTTTCCGACCACTGCGCTACGCGCGCCTCAGCTTTGCAGTAGATCCGTTAGTTCTTTTTTTATCAGGAACGTTTTGGTTTTTGGTGCACGCCATTTACAACACTGTACTTTAAAAGTAGTTTTATGTATAATTCCTTCCTGTACGTCTTTTTCAGATCTGCATTTGACCGCTGCATGATGCGTACTGTTTAGGATTTTTCGAGCTTTCATCCCGTCGTAGTGGCGTCGGTCAGTCGGTCGGTTTCCCCTGTCTTCGTTTATTTTCTATTTGCAATGCATTCTATTATCTTGTTAAGCTGTTTGGAATTTTGTTTTTGAACGTTTGCTGCCGTATTTTTTCTGTGCATTGCTGTCCATCCTTATGTAGGATGGAGTGCAGTATTTGATGGCCGTATTTGGTAGCTGATAGCTTGATATTTTGTCATTTTCATATGTTTGGATGCTGTTTTGGCGATGGCGTAGTCCTTAACGATACCATTGTTTTCGTACGAACCTTAACGCGGACCTTAGGGCGCTCGTCAAGTACTATATTTACGCTGTCGTCATTTATTCGTTGTATATGTTTACTCCATCCATATCTGTGACTGATTTCTTGCTTAGTTCGACCTCATTCGGGGCGATCATCATCATCATCATCGTTATGCATATAATCTATAGCATATTATGCCTGTTAAAAAATGTTTTTCTTATTCTGGAGATTTCATGCGAATTATATTTGGTGTTTTCCTGTTTTTACTTAGGTAAACCCCCAAACATGGCTTTTATTTTATGAAAATCATGCTTAGTCCTTATCATCAGCTTGTTGTGTATTGGCATGCAAAGTAATCGAGGTAATAAAAGTCGCCTTTAAGTCTTTGATATGGAAATCTGTTACTTAGCAGGCGAAGCTTAAGTTTCTTCCACAATGGAGCCGAAGAGTGCGGTTGTGTTCAGGTGGTCGAGCATTTAATAAAGTGGGAAAGGTGAACAATACTTACTTGGATACTTGGATGGCCCGTCCTCACTGGTCGTGCGGACCTCCTCATTATCTCCATTTTTTCGAAGCTTTGCTGGTTTAGCCATCGTGGTTCCTTGGAGTGTCGACGTCGGCCAGGCCAAAGTTTGCCCCATGTCGTCACCACCACGAGCAGTCGCCATCGTTGTAGATCTGAGGGAGATTTGACACCATGCGACTAGTTTGGTACTAGGACGGTTGATCTTGGTATTTGGCATTGGTGAATAATAGGATCGTGGAATACTTAGGTATTTCTTAGTAGCCTAGTTCGAATTGTCAGAGTTCTTGTCTCCACTTGACTAGTTCGAAGTAACTTGTAATTTGAAGATAACCTAAGTTCAAGGGGCTATCAGAGTTAAGTAGAAAGGTCGAAACGTCTTGACAACTCTTTCAGTATTCCCAGTTATAATATGGTTTATGTAGCTTGATTAGTTGAAGGCCTGTGGGATGTAGTCTTTTTCAGGAGAGGTTGTCCTGGTGTATGCTTCTGTTAATTATTAAGCGCCGGCGTTATCGCAGCAAGTGGTAATTGAGCAATGTTGTTTTCTTTCAATGGGCAACAATGGGATGAGTATTGTTGCACAAATGACTGGTGGTCATTAGCATTAATAGTCTCTTAAGAAATAGAAAACGTCACAGTGATGCCTATTTGAAGAACGGAAGAAGAGTAGTTGAATACAAGTAATCGGATAAAGGCGAATTGACATAATCACACATATCAAAGCACAGAGTGCAATGAAGAGACAACCAATCATTTGATGAGGATAAATGCGTAATACATAGATATTTTGATGGCAGGAGCTGCGAAAACCAGTAATTCTTTCATTCTCTTCATTTCTTGCAAATGTCATCCATGGAGATTGTGGTGTTCGGATGTGAGTTTGTTCACTTGGAGCCTCACAATGTGTCGTTTCCTCATCTGGTGACATGTTGTGTGCTAGTGTTTCATAAGAGGAGCGTGTGGCGCAGTGGTTGGAGGCGCCCTGCAATACGCATGAGATCTATCCAGCGCGCAGACCCATCAAGCCCTCCATCCCTCCGGGATCGGCAAATTAGTACGAGACCTATCCAGGAGGATAACAGCACTGAGGCAATACATTGGTAGGCCATCGCGTTTCATTATATAGAACAGATATGTATTCCGTCACCTCCAACAATGCTTGATGAAGTCGAATGCATGGCGCATTCCTCAGGAATTGATCAACGTCGAGAAGTTTATCTTTTTAGTGTTGCTCACTCGCAACCTTAGATAACCGTGTTAAAGCGTACCCAGGTCCCTACCACAGTCATTTTTGGTGGCCATGAAGGTTTTGGAGGAACTCAGACGCTATGCGAATAAGATTCTTCCAGAACGACAGCGACACCCACGAACGGTCGACCAACCGCTTGGTGGCGATCTAATAGGCCTCATGTAAAAATTAGACGTAACAGTAGCAATAATCACAGTGATGCGGAGATTTTTGAAAAACTCCGGACCGCAGGTGTCAGCGGTGGTGATCGAACACACTATTATCCTTACCGGGAGCTAACGCATTCACCACCACGCCATACGGGTTCTTCGATTCATCTTTCTGTCAGCTAGTTTTGTATCTATCAATGCCATCAGCAATCATCCGTCAATGGGATTGACAATATCTCAGCATTATTATGGATGTATTTCAAATAAAACCTTTGCCTGTGTCGTCTGTA